TTTTTGTCTCGTTCTCCTTCTTGTCAGGGTTTTAGCCTATAAAAGTGAAAATTGCACAATTATGCATAGAAATCTACTCAATTTCAATTATAATTAACTCTGAAAAGTGACTAATAAGTGTGTAAAAACACACTTATCAATCTTAATGCCTTACACACCTATCACCCACAACTTGTACCCTTTCACTCCTTCCGGGTACCCAAGCATAACATATTTAGTAGCTCTAAGGTCTGACTATCCCTCAATTTAATGTGCATATGCCGCACATCTAATGTGGGAAAGATTTTTGGGATTCGCAGTCCACGGTTCCTGTGGAATCTTAAACTCAATAGAATTACATGGAGATCTATTTATAAGATAAGTAGTTGTAGTCACAGCCTCAGCCTCAGCCTCAGTCCAAAAACCTTTATCTAATCCAGAACTGACCAGCATATACCTAACCTTATTCATTAGAGTTCTATTAATTCTTTTTAGTGACCCCGTTCTGTTGAGGTGTGTGTTTAACAGTTCTATGTCTAACAATCCCCTTTTGTTTACAGAAGTTATCAAACTCAACATTACAAAATTCCAAACCATTATCAGTTCTTAGAGTTTTTAACTTCTTATCAAGTTTACTTTCCAAAGGTGGGGTGGCTTTCTGGTCCCCATAAATCTGAGTGGACATAATCTATGGCCTAGAGATGGTATGTAACCCAGTCTCAAAGCTCACCCTATGTGACTTTCCCAACACACATGTTTCACAAAATTCAAGGGGTTCAATCATATCTTTCTCAAGTAGTTTTTGTTTACTTAGATACTTCAAACCTTTATTTCCTATATGTCCCATTCTGTTGTGCCATAATTTAGACTTGTTTTTAATTATGGTCAAAGATTTTGAATCTTGAGGAGTAAGAATCTCTTCCATAAGATAGTACAAACTATTTCTTTTAGGTCCATTAAGAATTACTAAAGATCCCTTCATCACTTTTAGAGTGTTATTATCTGATTTGAAAGAATGTCCATCATCTTCAAGAATTCCCAATGAGATGAGATTTCTTTTAAGATTTGGGACATATCTTACATTCTTTAATTGTACGACAATACCATCATACATTATAATGGAAATGTCACCAATACCAAGAACAATCTAAGAATTATTATCACCCATATACACTTTCCTGGGTTCAACTTCTTTGTAATTATTAAACAATGACCTATTAAGACACATATGGAATGTACACCCTGAATCTAAGATCCAGTCCTTATCAAGTTCTTCATCTGACACAGTCATCACAAGTAGGCTATCTAATTCTGAACATACAGCTGAATATTCAATTCATCATCATTGTGATCCTTATATTTCTCCTTCCATTCAAAGCAAACCTATTAAAGTGACCTAATTTTTCACAATGGTAACACTTCTTATTGCTTTTATCCCTTGATTTAGATCTTGTCTTAGATTTGGATATGAATTTTCTGTTTTTGAAATTATTTTCTTTCTTCTGAGTTCTTCCTCTCACAAACATGTTCTCCTCTCTTGTACTTGTTTTAGATTCTTTCTGATCTCCAATTCCCGAAGTCTTAAAGCATTAGTAACAATGGTTTGTGTTAGAGCATCTCTTGAGTATTTTATAGCATTCTTTATGTCCTTAAATGAATCAGGTAAGGAATTAAGGAAAATTACAGCAAAGTCTTCATCATCAAATTTCTTTCCATTATGAGCAAGGCTCTTAACTAGGATACTAAAATCACTCAAATTAGCTTCCAAATTTTTTCCACTATCCATCTTAAAGCTAAATAGTTTCTCTAAGAGGTAGATCTTATTAGGTAATGTCTTAGTTAGAAAAAGTGCTGGATCATCAATGGCTTTAGCAACCCTTTGTTGGACCAATATGGCCCTCATTTTCTACTTTCAAATCTAGTAATCCTCCCTTCCATTGAATTGTGATAATTCGACCTTTGAACCCATCACATATTTTGTAAATGGGTGGTTATTACTCGTGGACATAAGTAGTTTTCAATCTGAAAATCACTTAAGTTGCAGAAAAATTTTTGAAAAATTTTCATGCAATGTATGACAAGTAAGCAGGACACAAAATGAAAAACAACCTTACTAAAATATGCATAAACTGAAGCAAGATCAAACAATCAATGACTGAGAGATTAACAGTTGGTACCACACACTCAGATTGATTAAACAGAAGATAAAACCTAAATGTGCTCCTATTACAATCAACCAATTACAGTATATCAACAAATTTACAGATTCATATTAAAACATGTAAACCAATTATTGAATGGAAGATAATCAGAACAATCTCACCAAAATACTGTATATAACAGTATTTAAAACTCCACTGTCGTTTAGGAAGTAGGATCCAGTTTTAGAACCAGATTCAACACCACCCGAGTCTCCAAGAACTTCGGTTCAATTTGATTCCAGTGAACTGTACATGTAATAAACACATTAATATGAAAAGGAAATTGAAAAACTAATCAAAGAATCCTTACCCACAGCCTAACAAAGCTTTGATACCAATTGTTGTGTTCGATTCACCCAAGTAATGCACAAACGGAGATTAACACACTCAAGACCAAAAGCTGCAGAAACGAAAAATAACATAGAAATTGTTCACCCAGTTCGGTTATGCCTAAGCTGGGGGGCTCAACTACTAGCCCAATCCACTAGTGCACTAAGAAAACCTTCCAAAGGAGTATGTTTACAAATGGAACCAAAAGCAAACCATTAATCAAGTTCTAGTCATAGATCGAAAGAGATCTCTTAGAACATCAACACAAAAACCTCAAGAACTATCGCATAATCACTTGAACAGAGACTAATCTAAACAGCCAAAAACCAGACTCAAGCCATTGTTACCATATGCGAAAGAACCACCAAAATAGCCACTCAATCTGTGAAAGCAAAAAAGAAGTCATGGAAGAGAGTGCCAGAAAACCAGAAGCCCTTTTTCTTCTCTCTATCGCCAGAAAACCAACAGAATGAATGAGAAACCGAGAGTCACTCCAACACGTAAAAAATAAGGCTAAAAAAATCATAGCCATTGGATCTGATCAACGATCCAAAGTGAAAGAGAGAAAGCACAGTCCATGTATAAACAAACCAGCCAATTGGAAAAGGCCACGTGGACACAACTTAAAGAGTTGTATTTTTGGAAACACGTTTTTAACTTTCAATTCATTAAATTAATTGCATTAGTTTTGATGACACACCCCCACAATAAATTATTAATTATGCAAAACTTTTACATCCACTTTACAAGCAAACCGTTAACTATTTAATACTTCATATATGTTTATTGGATTTTCCTTTATTTATTTGTGAAGAATACAAATAATTCATCAAACAATCAAGGTAAAAAAAAATAAAAAAATTGAAGGCTTTTTAATTGACGGACCAATTTTATTTTCTAATCTTGAAAGAGACTCATCCATTGACGTGATGAAATGTTGTGCCAATGTGCCACGCCATTGTGTAAATTAAAAAGGAGTGAAGGAAAAATGATTCAAATGAATATAAAATTAGGATGTACACAAATGTGAGTTGTGTCCAATAAAATGGACTGTATTCAATTACTGGCTCGTCTCCAATAAATACAAAATTAGGGTCTCCACTAATTAATACGAAAATTCATTTTTATTATTTTTTACAACAAGGAAATTCATTTTTAAACGAAAAATTTATGTATTCAACAAAAACCCATTTCTTCCACATTTTACACATTATTTCCTATTTTTTCTTTTTCTTTTTTCACAATTTTCTTGTCATATAAATGGATTACTTATTTTCTTTAAGGTTTTACGTATGTTTAATTTTTTTTTAAAAGAAACCTACTGAATATTCCGTTAATAAATCTTTTGTAATAATTAATCATGTAATCAATCTCCTTGTTTAATCTGTTGATAGTGTGTGGCTATTAGCAATGGAAATTTGTAAATTCTTGTCGCTATCGTCGCACATTCTAGTAGTGGATCCAACCTAATTTCAGGGAACTTTTAAGAAGAAAAATGTTATAGCACTTTCCATTACTGAATACTTCCATGATTTAACTTACCTGAATCAAGTAAGAACTTGGCATTTTTGCTCATCCTCTCACTATCAATCCTTGCTTTCACGCTCGCATCAAGATGGATGTCCACTTTATTAGTGAATAAGTCACGCAATAAGAGCCACTAATTTTAGAGTGTAATACTGTAAATATAATTATCCACAAAATTTTTCCTAAAATCGTTTCCATTTTATCTTCCATTTTAGGTATGTTTTGTCTGAGAAATGAGAAATCCATTCATTAAAAGGATAAATTAAGTTTAAAATTTGGGGTGCATTTGGTTTGTTGTTTTCAAATCGTTTTCAGTTGTGCAAAACACTAGAAATATTTTTGGTCTGATATTTTTGAAAATGCATTTTTAAAAACAAGGATAAATTTATAACGTAATTTTAAAAACACTCAAAAATAAGGAAAATAAGCGTTTAGATAAAATTTTAAAAAATATATAAAAAATTAAGATTTAAAAAATAAAATTGATAAATTCTAAAAACTAAGGCACCGTTTGGTAGCCATTATTCTAGAAAAAATGTATTCTTTGTGTCAAATCACACTTTTTTTGTGGTTGAAAATGAAGGAAAAGTTATTGATGTGATAGAAAATATTATTTTATTGATGAATGTGTGCTTGAAAATTAGTAGAAGAATGAGAATGAAAAAAATAATGGTTACCAAACGGTGCCTAAAAATTTTGAAAAAATAAAAATAAAAAAAGTTATAACTAATGGATATTTACATAAAAGTTTTAAAAAAATATTTAAATGAATACATGCAAAAATATTTTAAGTCCACGTCATTAATTTTTTATTTTTATTTCTTATATTTTAAAATTAATTTATTATTTTAATTTTTTAAAGAGAAAAAATATTATAAGATTGGATTAATAGCAGAAAATCCCTCTAAAAAACGTTTTCATTTGCGATTTATTGAGAATCACAGAAAATCCCCATGTTTGAAAGTTTTTGTGCGAAAACCACTCTGTCATAAAAATCCATCAAATTTTCCGCTAAAAATAGTCAAAATACCAAAATTAAAAAGGAATAATTGTAATTTCTGTATCAAAACTTTTTTTTTTTTCACAATTAAATTCAAATTTTTTATAGGAAAAATTATAGCAGTGGTCCCTAACCCCACTCCATCACCATTATGCATGACAAAACCAATCCAAACCAGGAAAGCCACGTGACTTGCCACTAGCCCACCACCGTCACGATCGCCACTGGAAAAATACGAGCACCAAACTACCTAGAATTTTCACACCAGAAATCAAATCCATCACTTTGTGGAACCCAGAAATCAACCCCCATAAATCTCGACACTTTGTGCTTCGCATGCTTCGTAGAAAATAAATCCCGAAAATCAAACCCATATCATCTTCTTGGATGCGTGTGATTTGATCTACATATGAATTGATTTTGTGTGGTTTGGGGGGTGGTAGGGATGGCAAAAAAGCTCACCGACTCGGGAGGCTCAAGCTCGGGCTCGGCCCGAAAAAAACTCGAACCGAGCCTGGCTCGGGCTAAGCCCCATTTTGGGGCATCAGCTTGAGCCCGATAGCGGCTATTGTCACGGGCTACCTGCTTTAAAAAAATTAAAAAAACCTTTTTTAGCTACCTGTAAATTTGACAACAGGAAAAAAAAACCGAGCGGCTCGGGGCGAAAGCTCGGCCGAGCCTCATTTTTTTGGCCGAACTTTTGCTCTGCTCGGCTCGGCTCGGCTCGGCTCTGGCCAAAAAAAGCTCGGCCCTTTTTGGCTTGAGTTTTCGAATTTCGCCTCGTGGCTCGACTCGGCTCGGCTCAACTCGACTGTTGCCATGACTGGTGGGTGGGCTGGGGTTTGAGGACGGCTATGGCTATTCAAAAAATTATTGAGGGAGAATAAATGAAGGACCAAATGGCCGCATAGACGACGGTAAAAAAATTGAAGACTGTGAAGAAATCATAGATCTGAAAATCAATTGGTATTGATGATTTCGTTTTTTAGTCTTGACAAAAATGCTATTTGTGAGAAATGTGGAGTTGAAAACTTGGTTTCCTTAAGAATGTTGGATTTTTCTGGGTTTTGGTTTGGTGCATTGGTGGTGGGGTGCACGGGGTTGGGTGGGAAGAAGAAAATAAATTTTTTTTATCTTTTTATTTGTTGATCTTTTGATTTAATTATTTTAATTTAATTGGTTTTTGTGTGAAAAATACGAAAAGAAAAAAAATTATTTTTGGGGAAGAAGGTGAAGTGGGGATGGGGTGGGGTCAAAAATAAAGTTTTAAAGATTGTAGGTGGAACGTGTAAAAAATTTGGATTTAATTTGTAAAAAATAAAAAATAAAAGTTTGGGTACTGAAATTATAATTATTTTTTTTTTAATTTTGANTGAATAATCAGATTTAATGAAATAAAATGTTGTAAAATAATTTTTCAAAATTTCAAACCAAACATATTTTCTAGTTTTTAATTTTGAGAAATAATTTTTTCAAAAGGATTCGCCAAACGCATTTTGAAACTCTCAAAATAGAAAATGAACTCAAAATTCAAAATCGAAACACAAACCAAATGGACCCTTACCTTTTGGTTGCAAACTGCATTTTCACCCAATAAATCGTGTATGTTTAAAAAAAGTTAAATTTTTCTTTATGCTAATCATACATATTTTTTATCCACACATTTCTTATTATCAACAATTTATAATTCGCTTAGTATCCACATAATCCATATGATCCACAACTTATAAACATTTAGAGTGTGTTTGGGACACATTCTTTTGAAAGAATGTATTATTGAATAGTAGATTGATAGAGAATGTACGGTTAAAAATGAAGGAAAAGTTATTGATGTGATGAAAAATATTATTTTATTGAAAAATGTGTGGTTGAAAATGAATAGAAGAATGAGAATGAAAAAAATAATGTGTACCAAATAGGGCCTTAAAAACATTAAGAGTGTGTTTGATAGGGATTTTTGGAGGGAGAATTGATTTTTGAATAGTGATATGATGGGAAATGTGTGGTTGAAAAAGAAGAAAAAAGTATTGAGGTGATGGAAAATATTATTTTATTGAAAAATGTGTAGTTAAAAATGAGAATTGATTTACTGTAGAAAATGAGAATTTGTACCAAACAGGCCCTAACAATCAAGCAAGAAATAATTGAAAAATAGATAAATTGGAAAGACGTTTTAAATGTCCGTAAAGAGAACGCATGCGTATAATCACGGAGTTAGACTAAGCCTTGTTTAAGCCCTATTTTTTTGGGTAAATAGATTATTGTAATAGTAAATTTTTTTTTTTTTTTTTGAGAATGCGTGGTTTAAAAGTATGAAAAAAAAATTGTTTTGGTGTAAAATTATTTTATTGAAAAAAGTGTAGTTAAAAATGAGTTTGAAGGAAGATATATTTTATAAAAATAGGGCTCAATCAAGGGCTAAAGTTTATTCTTCAATGGTGATAATTTTGGGATCTCTTTATAAAATTCTTCTTAAAATTTTTAGTATTTTTTGATGGATTCGTTCAGTTGAAAAAGTTAATTCTAAAGGGCAGAATTTTACTGTTCCAAAGTTTGCAATATGAAGTCATGTTTAACAATAATTATTTTAAAATGATTTTTTTTACATACTCATTTTCAACTATATTTACACAATAAAATAATATGCACGTATATCTAAAAAAAATTCTCACTTTTTAACCATATATTCTCTAAAAAATTGCTACCCAAATAATTATTTTTAAACATGGGGGAAGATAATTAAAAGACAAAGTGTATCGGTGTACTGTAGACTCAAATTTTTCCCAAGCAAGGAAAATGATTCATCCCCTAAAATGACCAAGTTCCATGTACAGCAGAATCATAATTATGCTTAAAGCTTTGTGATTCTTATCCTTATGTCACTTGTTGGTACAATTCATAAAAGTAAAATGAAACATGACCACTAATTCTATGGAGAAACGAAAGCACTTAGGGTCTTTTTATTACATAGATCTTTCGAGATTAGATTTTGTGAAAGTGATGTTTTGAAAAATGCATGATTAAAAAAAAATAAGTAAAAATTATAAATTTACATGTAAAATTATTTTATTGAAAAAACACATAATTGAAAACGACTTTGAGAATAAATAAATTTTAAAGAATATGTTCTCATATATGGACATTCGTTATATCATTCTCCTTGTGTTCATAATTATCTGATATTTGAAAGCAACTTGAGAACAACCATTTCATGTGGTCCTGCTCGTATATTGGACAGCTAGGGCTTAGAAAGACAGTGAGAGATTGGAGAGTGGGAGTGGGTTTTACTGCAATTGCGGCATGTATTTATGGAAAGCAAAGAAATGAATGGTGCACTGCAAAAAAGGACCTTTCAATGTCTAAAGGTCTTGAAAGATACAAATAGTTCTTTGAACAATATTGGCTACTATCTAGGGTTTTTACAAGTACAACCACAAAGCCGCTCTTTCTTGACTATTCCATACTCATCTACAGTGAGTGAGTGTACAAGAAAAAGAGGGAGGGAGGGAGGGAGATAGCTTTTTGGGTTCAAAAGAAAAGCTAGGGGGAGGGGTGGGGAGGGGAGGGGGGGTGGGTAAAGAACCCTTGAAGAGAGAGATACATATAGATACATACAGATAGTGATATTCATAGAAACATATGGAGAGAGAGAGAGAGAGAGAGAGAGACACTTTAGAGGGATAGATCAGTTTTTCTTTTTAGTGAAAGGGACATGGAGTCACCCCAGTCAAAAAGGCAAGAGGCAGGCCTCTAAGCTACGCTGTGTTATCCTCTCAAAACTGAAATAATTGTCCTTTGTATAGCTTGGACTTGTCCACGTGGAATTCCAAGGTTTGGCCATTGTCAACAAGCACAGAATCAATTTCTCTCTGTAAACACTAGAGGTTAAGCAAGCCCACTTGCTCATAATTGAAACTTTAGAGCGATTAACGTCACCATGTTTGATAATTGTTGGGTCGTGTTGATGATTACAAATATCGGATAACCCTGTCAATGTTAAGAGTCGGGCATCCCGTGAAGTTGCACGATGACAAGTGCTTAAATCCAGCTGCGCCCACTTACTTCCCCACAATTCATTGCTGCTGCTTCAACTCTTTCGCTTTCATGCTCCAAACACTCCAACCAAGCATGCATCTATAATTTCTTTAGCTAGTGGAAGAAGACATACAATAACCTTTAATTTCTTTGCTTTTTCTGTATTTTCCTTTTGGTACGAAAAATGTGAAACGGTAATTTTGTTTTCCCTTCTGTTGTGTGATGGTATGTAGAAAATAGGCAAAGGCGCCCTTTGTGTTGCCAATAATTCATCTTATGAATAATTGATTTAACCTCTATTTATATTTTTCTTCCATGCCTGTCTTTCTCAAAGAGCCATTTCTTGTTTATGCAAGGTGCAATCAATCTCTCTCTCTCTCTCTCTCATAAACAGAAAGATATACAAACACATGGGATTGTGAAAAATAAGAAATATCAAGATTAGGTTAATAATTAGTCTCTCTCAAGCCTTCATTGTTTGTTGCAGAGGGTCAAAAGGATAAGCATGTACAAATAATCTCTTGGTGCACCTGTCTTCCTCAAGCCCTAGTCACTCTCTCTAGCATAGCTTCAAGGACAAAGGCATTTTTTTGAGATGTATCCCTCTAACAACAATTGCAATTTCAACTCTATATCTTTTATCGACCATGAGATTTCCCAAACTTATTTTTTCGATAATGACATAAATTCCATTTCAAAAGAAGACCATTCGTTCTCTTCGTTTTTCGGTTTCCCTAATTCTCCAAGTATGCACTACGAATACTATCAAATTCATGACCTTTTCCATGAGCAGAACTCCCTGACAACAGATGAAAATGCTGTTCCAGCCGAGATTAATGAAATTAACATTGCGCATTCAAGTAAAGCTGCTGCTACAGACTCACCGAAAGAAGACTGCTACAGCAAAACTGAGCAGCGGATCCCTAGAAAGAGATCTTCCAAGAAAGATCGGCACAGCAAAATCAACACTGCTCATGGCCCAAGAGACCGAAGAATGAGACTGTCCCTTGATGTCGCCCACAAGTTTTTCGGCTTGCAAGACATGTTAGGATTCGACAAGGCGAGTAAAACAGTGGATTGGCTGCTCAAGAACTCAAGGTCTGCCATCAGAGAGCTGATGCAAGGGCCTTGTATTTACAAACAAACCTGCAGTTTATCCTCTACTTCTGAATGCGAAGTCGTGTCAGGAATCGATGATCAGTCGGCTGCTTATGAAAACAAGTCCACAATCATCAACAAAAAAAGTGAGCTAGACAAACCCTTTTGTACAAAAGAGAAGAAGAAGAGTAAAGTTGCGCGTACAACTGTTGCAAAGGAATCAAGAAGAAAGGCAAGAGAGAGGGCAAGAGCAAGAACAAGTGAAAAAAATTGCCTTCGCGAAAGTGAGCCAAAAACAGCGAATAATCACAGCTCGATCCGATTAAGGACTTGTCAATTGGAAACTGGCGAAGAATCAGTGACCCGATGTTCAAACATGAACCCTTCATATGAAATGCTGGCTGAGGTTGAAGAGTTGAGCTCTCATGGAGCGCAGATTTTAGGGGCTAGAGATGAAGACAATTGGAACGCGTCTACCATCTTAAATTATCAGCACGACGCTGCAAATTCCAGCCATGAAGTAAGTTAATTTCCACAGCATATAGACATAAAATTGTAGTGATTTTGAGGGGATGAATTAAATTAATTTATTTATTTTTTGTTGCAGCCTCAATTCACTGACTTTCTGTTTTGTACTAAACCATGGGAAGCCTACAGGAGTTATAATCTATCTGGATAAGTCTTCTTCATATTCCATCATCTGTTAACATTAGATGGATGTCCTTTGCTTATTCTTGTTAATTAAATGTGAATTGTGAAATAAATATTGTATTTTCTGGTGTGAAAATTATGCTGTGAATTTATTTCTTCTTGCTTCATTTCTAAAATGGGATTAGTTAAGAATTGAAATTGACGAATAAACCTTGAGCATCAAAACTGGATGTGCTCCGATTCTATCTTTGAACTTTAATCTTGTTCAAAGGAGTTGCTACGCCATTATACATATTATCGCATCTTTATTCAACATGAAATTTATATTCACATGTCCCGCAAAATAGTAACTTATTCGAAAACACCCATCTTAGAATTTGATTGCTCGAGACTCGAACAGTCTACTTGTAGGTTTACATAGTGTCATAGAGGTTTAACATACCTTAATAGTATATGCACTACTTGCATATCATTGGTATTTCCTTCAAACAATTGATCATTCTTTGTTTACTTATTTTAATTTTTTTAATTATTTGTATAACAATCTGGTAATTCCTTACTCCATTTAGGATCATAATCATAATAGTTGAGTCTCCACCAGCACTAAAAATTCCAACTCAATCAGCCAACAAAATACAGGATTCAATAAGACACTAAGCACAAAAATATGAAGTCTGCGACTTGAATAATAAATTAAAGCTGAAGCAAGATAACAACTCTCCAGTTTGTGCCTCAACGGCCGCCTCTATAGAGAGAAAAGTGCTGGCTGAAGCCAAAAACATCTCTCTTTTTCTTTTTTCTTTTTTTTTTCCAAATTATGGCTCGATGAGTGCCGTTGTCACCACTGGGGGTGTACACCAAGTTAAACCCATGGTCATGCCTACCTACTAGTGAAGTTAACTATGTCTGGACAGGTTTATCTTTGAAGGATCACGCCTCCGCGCATGTCGTACTGCCTTTAAGCTGGTTCAATGCATGCTGATCTTTGCACTAGTTGCATAAATTCGGAGCATTTTGTTTGAGTAGAAGAGTTGTTTCTGAGTAGCATTCAAAAATTATCTTCTTGTGTTTATTACCCACTGTCTAGTTCCGATTTACCTTTGATGGTTCTCTCCATACTATAGATACAGCAGAGAAATCCGATAGTGTTCATTAGACCCTAACATCCAGTCCGCTTTTGATGCAGCAAATATCTTTACCTTTAACTATTGGCAGTGATTATGGATAAATATATGCCATATCTCACCATCTGCACTGGCTAATCTTACTATGCCACCTATGACAGTAACTTGCTTACTTTTGTATAGAATATTGCACCATCAAAAGCACACTCTAATCAAGCCATTGCTCATCTCAAGAGGCTAACACTAGGCAAACTCCTGCATATGCTGTTTATTTTTCTTTTCTTCATTTCTCCATTTATTGAAATTTTCGTCACAGACCTGTAGCTCGTTCACAGTATAATTTATAAACAATTTTTGGATATTGTGCATATTAGCTTCTTAGTTTTCTTCAAATTTTGGAGTATTGAAGTACTCTTTTAGTTCTCAACCTCTCCAATATGTTCAACTTTTCGATTGTTACATTGTAGCCTCAAAACAATTAGTTCGTTCTCTCTTATCGCTTTATCGGAAATTAGAGATTACGTGTATTTTGTTCATGTCTTGTAAGGATGAAATACATCAATTTAGCCAATCTGGGTAGTCATTTTGCACATGGCTCATTCTAATTAATATCCTAATGAATGACATGGACTATAGTCCTCGGGCATCCTCTCATCATCTTGCCACAGGCTCTACCTCATCCTCGTGACATGGACTACTGACCTGACCCTCCATCTCGAACAGCGGCTTTGTCAGGTTCAGTCGTTCAGAGGCTTGATTTGCCACCATTATTTCATCTTAAAAATAAAAAAAGATAAGCCGCATCCTTGACGACCCCCACTTGCTCTGCCTCGAATTTTAGTGAATGAGGTAAATTGAAGGTTATGTCTTCAAGGGTAAAAGGTGGAAGGCTGCTTGTACACTTGTACTTACCCAATGGCCAAATCCATATTTCAGGATTAGAACCCTTGACGCGGCAGCCTCAAACAAAGTTTGAATTTTTCCACCTTCCCTTTTTACCACTTGGAGATGTGCCCTAGGAGCACCATTATTTCATCTTAGATCCTAAACATGTGCTTAGCTAAGACATTGGCCGATTATTAGCTTCACGCCGAATGAAACAAACAACTAATTAAGGATGTGTTTGACATCCATTTTGAAAAAAAAAAAATTGAAATAGTGATTGATGTAAGAATGTGTGATTAAAAAATAAGAAGAATTTTTTGGTGTATGTGTAATATTATTTTATTGATAAGATGTGTGGTTGAAATAAAAATAAAAAAATGAGAAAGAATGAGAAGAAAATGAGTGTCAAATAAGTGTTAAGACTGAAAAGAAAGAAGCAATTTGAAATTTGGAAGGAACGTGTAATATGTACTTTGTCAAAATCCATACTTTTGCATAATCATTTACAAATACGAGTTTTCTTCCCTTTTAATATCATACTTCTTATTTTTCTTAGAACCGTTTGCATATTTTCAAAAATAAAAACAAAAAGTGGCAAAATTCATTATCTAAATCGGAAGAAAAATCTACAGAATAATGTGTCTTGTGTTCATTTTCAGATCTTTCTACTATTATAGAATAAAAAATAAAATCCTGCGGCAGTGAGCAACTGGCGTGGCGTCAAATGTTTTAATTCTACACGCATCCTCGTAAAAAGTAATGACAATATCTAGGGCAGTTATGAAGAATACTACGTAGGTCCAATTTTGATAGATCCAAAAATTCAGGAGGGGCGTTGATTGAGGGACTGATCAAGGACCGAGAATTGACTAAGGAATTGAGCTTAATTTTTGCTCAAAATGTATTTTGATGGAGAATATGAAATTTAAAAATAAGAAATTTTTTTGAATTTACTTATAATATTATTTTATTGAATAATTTGTGATTGAAAATAAGAAAGAGATAAATGAATTTTAAAAATAATGAGGACCAAACAATGTCTCGGTAATGTAAATATTATGACAAAATATATTAAGGGCATGTTTGATAGCACCCAATTTTTTAGGAAAGTTGGAATTCGTTTTCCATTTTTCACCTTTTAGGCTTTTTGATAGGTTAAATTTTTCATGGAATTCATTTTCTACCTTTACCTCATTTTCCACCCAATTCTTGATTTGCAAGGAAAACCAATTCCCACCACATTGGTGAGAATAGGTTTTCCATGCTACTTTTTCTATTATTTATTTATTTATTTATTTTTTTTTNAAAATCCAAAATTTCAACATTTTCCCGTGGAAAATTATATCAATCAAACACAATTAATTACAATTCCCACTAAAATAAATTTTAAGCAATTTAATTCCCTGTAATTCATTTTCTTTTCATTCAAATTCCACATTTGCAATCAAACGGACCCTAAGTTAATTGATAGATTTTGTTAAAAAGCATATTTTTTTTATAAAATTTGATAAAAGTTAATAAGATATGTGATTAAAAAATTGATAAAATTCATGATTCTCATTAAATGTATACTTGAAAATGAATTTAAGAAAAAACGAGGTTTTTAAAAAATGAAGGCCAAACATGGACTAAATATCATTATTTAGTTTAAGTTAAAGAACAATGACATGTACATCAATTATTGATAGATAAATTTATGATAGGATTACAAAAAGAATAATGTTATTTGAATTAGTAGTCGTCATACGTTATATACATGTTGCACTTATTTGATATATTAATATGATATTTTTTATCGACTCAAATATTAAATAACAAATTGTCATATATATGACACGTATGACGATTACCGATAATCGTGTTTTGTAAACCATTTCACATGATGATGCAATAGACTTACAAAATTATTTTCTAATTTATTACCATAGTTTTGTCCATAATAGAAACATTTTAACCCCTTTTTATACATATTTTTAAAGAAATAATGCATTTTAAATAGTGATGTGATAGAAAATATGTGGTTAAAAAAATAAGGAAATTTTTTTAATGTGCATGTAATATTATTTTATTGAACATTGTGTAGTTGAAAATAAGCTCATGTTTGGCACACATTTTCATCTCATTTTTATTCTCATTTTTTCTTTTTCTTTATTTCAACCACATATTCTCCCAATAAAATAATATTACATACAAATCTAAAACTTTTCATAACTTTTTCACCACACATTCTCCCATCAATCATTATTCCAAAAATTCTATTCTCCAAGAAATGGATGTCAAACATCCTCTAAGTATTGAAAGAATGAATTTTTTTTTTTTAAATGTGGATCAAATCGGGGCTTAAAACCCCATATAATTTGTGTACTATATACCAACGTACCTATTGATCAACAAAAAAAAATTTGCCTCTCATTCGAGAATTTACATAACATCATAGCAAAAGAAATCAAACCAACATTATTTATACCTATTCTCGAGTTTAATCTTCATCAATCTAGACTCATCAAACTTTCTGCTATGGTGTTGATTTCTACACAATTATCTCGTAACTAATATTATGTGATTGTTTGTGCTTTCGAGTCAATTCTACACTGATTTGTGTGTTCTCTTCAAGTTTTAGGACAAGTCCCAAGTTTTGAGGACATTGGCAATACAACTTGGGAAAATTGAAATCCAACTTTTATTCAACTTCCAAAACTTTGACGGTATACTTTAGATATTTTGCACGAAAATAGGGGTTCCAATATTTGGGAATCGAATTATTACTTAATCTCGTACAAATTTTTCGTTTACAACGTCGGACGAATTTTTGGAGAAAACGAACGAAAATTGAGAAAAATGAATGTCTTTTGTGCTTCATTCTTAGAGCAGAGACCAACTCGATTCAAATTGAAAGATCAAAGGCTTGGGATTGCAATTGCGAGAAACCAAACTATTAGAACTGTATCCATTTCATATTCATTTCACCTTTCTGTTACTTAGTTAATCTAGCTGGTATGATTAGTTTAGATTGTTAGTT